TCAATAGATTTGAATATAATCTTCATAGCGATTATATTTATATATTCATCCATTTCTTTGAGAACACTGATTGTAGGGAATGAATACGATATTTCACATATCATTAGCCTTGTTAAAAGCATCCAAGAAAGAACTCTTGCAATTGGATTTCGAAGGAGCCCTCAAATATTTTCGTGTAGTGTTGCCACGACTTTACCGAACAGAAGCAAATGCAAAAGAGTTAATTCATAAGGCCGTAAAGTTAAAAGTTGGTTTTGTGAGATCAGTCCTAAAATCTTATTTGAAAAATTTCTTACTACATAGGTAGTCGTAGCGCATGTGCACACTTCCTTTAGCAATCGATTTTCTTTTTGGTATTTCACATTCTGTTGCTACACTGTTGTACTAGTACTTAGTTCATAATTGATAGTTCTTTTAGTATTATTACTTATAAAAAAAGATTAAGTTGAATTTGAATTTCTTTATCTTGCGAGTATTCATTAACAAACGATAAAAACGAAAATAACTGAAGTGAGGGAAAGATTGTTATCATCCTCTTATTTTATTCAGGATTTTAAAAGCCATACTTTTTAGATAAGCCATAAGCGACTGTCGAAGTACGAAAAGGAGTTTTATTCGTTGAAAGAGCGTGAATTAGAGTCTCAGGACCCACTGGAACGTTTAGAGGTTAGCTCTTGATTTGATTGATTCAGTAAGTATATTGTTGTAAATATGTTTTGTGAGTTTCAAAATTCAATTTTTTTTTAGCGGGAAAACCTTCAACTGAAAGAAACAGTGATGAGATTGGAAAGGGAAAATGACGATTTGGCACACGAGCTCGTTACCAGCAAAATTGAGCTGAGAAAAAATTTGGACACCGTATGTCACTTATTTAGCTGTTTCGTATAAAAACTAGTTTTTAATATAATTTAAATTTTCTTTTCTAGTTTATAATGTATAATTTGAACGTTTTTTTTTTTCATTCTTTTTCTCTGATTGTCTAAATCTATCCGGATTTTCTCAGTGTGAAATAAATCTGTTACAGGCAGAAGACAGTGTTGAAAGCTTACAGGGACAGCTTGAGAGATGTATGCGAACAGTAAAAGATCTTGAAGATGAAAATAACGGATTACGAACTGAATACGATCAGGTTGTTCCTATATTTTTGTATGATATTGGTTCATAGTCGTAAAATGCAAGTTTTTTAGAGGAAGTTTATTGTAATTGTGATTACATGCTTTGCTATTGTCTTGAAACTGTTTCTATTCAGAATGGTTACATTAAAATAGATCAAACTGTAATAAAGTAAAGTTGCATACGAATCATTTGTTTGCTAAATTTACAGGTGAAGGAAATGTGCAGGAGAGAAGTGCTACGTCTCGAATCAGAAGGGTCACGATCACAGAGTATTATTAGCAATTACAAAGAGATTTGCTCCGATTTAAGTTATCGACTCGACAAGCAACAGGATAATTTCAAGATTCAAAGAACGCGGATTGCTGTAAGTTATTGCTAGAATACACTTTGGTGATTATTTTTATTGCAGGATTTGTTTGTAGGGAGTAATTTCTCATTGTGAACAATGTTCAACTGCACTTGCTGAATTTACCGAGCAGATGAATGGCAGTCCGTCAAAAAAGGTACCACATATTTTTTGTTTTTTTCGTATTACTGAAGATTTTTTCTGAAAATATTTCATGGACTTTGACATATGTTGTTGCTATAGCGATGAAATTATTCACCTGTTTTTCAGTTGTCTCCTACGGAAGGTGGTTGTGGCTTCAAGGTAATTGAATTGATGGATAAATTGGAAGAAAGTGAGCAGCGTATTCGCCAGTTGGAACTGAGTCTTGCTCAGACTAAGCTTGAGTTAGTTGAAGCACAGTGTAGAAACCAAGACCTAAGTCATCAGGTAATAAAATAATTGTTATCGGCTTATGTATGGCTTATGTTTTCTCTTTTAAAAAAAATCGTTACAGTTCCAATTGACAATATAATAGGAGCTGCTAATAGAATTCGAATCATTTATCTCATTTTGTCACCAGTTCATCAAAACGTAATCACCGCCTGACGTGAGTTCAAGCAGTGGTAAATAAGTGATAGATAATAAGGAGCGGAATATGATGATGCTACTTTTTTTGGAATAGTAATCAATAAAGATATAATTGAAGATATATTTGATTAAAGAATTTACAATAATTGAGGCAAAGGTTGCGAATTTGGAAGGCGTAAAGTCTGAAGCCTATAAACTTTACGTTTTGTTTCCATATCTTCCGCTAAAGAACTAAGCAAGGTGCGTGTGCAGCGCTTGTCATAATAATGGCTTTGTTCCTTATTTTACTTGCTACAGATGTTTACCTATCCGAGCTAAATTATAATTGCTATATATGGTTACAACCATGTATAACAACTCTTTCTTTATTTTAATTATTTTTTAATTTCAAGATTTATTTCATTTCTGCATTTCTGGTTTCTTCATAGCAATAGCATATTGTGAACCATTTCTGGTTCACAATGTGCTATTGCTATGAAAAAGAATTATTTAGTAAAAGTAACTCATCTCTCATGAAACGGAGGAAATGAAAATGCCATGATTTATATTTTTATAAGTTGTTTCTACATTTTTGTAGTTTTACGAAGGTAACTTTTTTCAGATGAATGCGTCCGTCAGTGGTGATAATGATAGTAAGCATGCGGCGTGGTTGAAAAAAACAATATCATCAATCCGAGACGTTGGCACATCACTGAAACAACCTACCCATGAGCGTAGTAACAGTACTCTTTCCATGGATAAGTATTAGTTTTTTTTTTAATTTTAATTTTTAGGAGAAACATTTTATCTGAATGATTTCTAAGTTTTAAGAAATCCATTTCAAAAACTAGTTTTCGATCATGTGTAAAATTACTTGCTGGCGCTGCAATGATCATTTATTTTTGTTTTCTGGCTTGAATTATAATTATTTCCACTTTATGTGTTTGGTAAATAGTTCATAGGTCATCTAAATTTCAACATAGTCGATTATAGACTGTCGCAAAAGCCGCAACCATTTAAATTATGTTGTTTATAGTTAGATGGGCTATTCTTCGTTATTATGTACTGTTATATTCCTTAAAGTGTTATATTCCTTTGTTTGTTTCTTCGAGAATCTGATAGTTTATTCACTTCATTTTGCTATTTTTTACTTTTTTTTCTCTTAATTGTTTAATTCATTAATCATTGAATATTTTCTGATATGGTCCTTGCTTTGCTCTTTCACTCTGTTGATGCTTTCTTTGCTGAGTTAGTGCGATAATTCGTAGCTGATCCAATTATTATTGATTTCATTGCACTGAATACTATTTTCCTTAATAGATTTACGGTTTGTTTTTTTTTTTTTAGATCTGCTTTTCTCGACTTGATTTTTTAATTTATGAGATGTCAGGAATGACTGAAATTAAATAATGAGAGAGATGGATTTTGTAATAGCCGTCCAAGCTTTTAATATACTTCTCAGTGAATTAAAAAACAATTCCGTTATTCCATTTTCTACGACACAATTCTTCAAACCATCCTTGGTACTGAATGGCGCCAATCGACCTGATTAGTTTTCAATTTCTAATAAAGCAATCTCTAATTTTGATTAATTCAGACAGGTGCTTAAGGTTTTTTTTCCGATTTAGGGAATAAATTTGTTACTATTATTGAATTGGGTCAGTGATGTTTTTAATATCGAATACTGTTATCAGTAGAAATTTTTAAATCTGCATGTTTCATTGATTGTTAAGTATAGTCTATTCATAATGATTTTACAAATAGGCTATGTTATCTTGCTTGGGACGTCTGTGTTATTTTGCTTGCATTCCACTTTTTTCTTTTTTTTTTCATTTGTTTGTAAATTCAAGAGTTTGAATGTTGTGAAATGTTTGCCATCAAACAGAAGTTTTTTTGTTAGAATTTTTCAAATTAATGACAAATGATTTGATTATTTTAATTATTGTTAGAAGCAAAAGCAATTTGACCACTTTTGATTGGAAATTCACTTAGTGCTCCTGTTAACAATGTTATAGAAATATAGTTATCACTGAGTCTGATTTCCTTGCTTGGGACAACTTCCTGTTCTTCACCAAACTTTAATACCGTCAATAACAGTACCAAGGTATGCCCAGGTAAGACATGGAACATTTTCAAGAAATCAGACTGTCTCCTTATTTAATGAAAGCGATAAACATCATCACCATAAAATATTCAGTGTAGCATTGTTTCAGCTCTCATACATCACGGTCAAGTTCTCCAGTTTATGAGTATCAAAATGCTAACATTGAGATGCATATGCGAATTCACCTTTCGTTTTGTAGAAAATCTCGAGCACAACTGAACTTGTGCTGATAAGTCCTCCGAAACATAGCTGCAAGTAGATAGACAATGTTGTCCATTTATTATGCGTAACCACTTTTGTAATTATCACTGCATCTTTATATTCACAAAATCATCCATTTGAGACGATAATGAAATAGCTATTTTTACACACTTTCACAAAACTGATATGCCATTTTTAATAGTATAATTAAACATATATTCTTAAACTTCTAAACAGTATGAAAAGATGAATACGTATGTTATTTATATTAATCAATCCTAAAATAATCAATAACATTGCAAATTTATTATCTTATGTAAACATCTTTGGATGATTCATATTCTTCGCTGCTTATATATGTATATAATGTATATATTCACCAAAAAAGAAGAAAATGGACAAAGCCGCAGTATGTATTATTATATTTATGAATGGTGGAAATTTGTAAAAAATTAATTTCAAAATCAAAAATATTTTTCAAACAAATAGTTTGTTAATCACGAGAATTTTTTCGAAATCTCGCATTCTTGATCATGTGCTTTGTTTAATGATAATATGATTACCCAGTAATCAATAACAAACCAAACTCATAACAATCAGTTAGATATTGCAAAGAAGTTATAAAGGAGAATCATTCGGTTCGCTGAAAGCACTATTACATCCATGAGCTACTAGAAAGAAAATTTATTGGCGAGATGAGTGGTCATAAAATAAAGGCAGAAGTGAGCTTGGAAGATGAAACAATCCAGTTCCTGTAATATCACATTCCAGACGCATCATTGCCACCTGCAAGGATATTATTAAACGCTTTGAACTGTTATCAAATTTTTATTAGTAGCATTATCAGGAATGAATTTTCGTAATCAAAAGAATTATTGATTCTAAAAATTATATTAAACCCTGGAAAAATTTGGCTAAAGCATTTAAAAATGGACGACATGCTAAAGCATTGTCTCCATTTTTATTGAATTTAAAATTAGATCAACTCATCAAGCACAAATATCTAAATAAGTAACTACATAGTTTTTATAATCTTAAAAGAGAGCTAGAAAAAATCAGCTTCATTAAGCTTCTTGGAAAGAATAAAAATAATGAACTTTATACACTAAGAGATGGATAAAGTTATGAACTGAGGCAATCAATTGTACCATCATATATGAATATTGCAGAAGTTGCTTAATAAAAACAAACCTGATTCGGTAATGTACCATTGAATGATAGAGCAGGCAAAATGAGAGCCATACGTGGTTGCATAATGCCATTTCGATCTGTTGCCGGCAGTAAATAATAATTCTAAAAAACTTCCAAAAAAATTTTTTTTGATAAACTTTGTACTAAACATCAGAAGTATTTTTCGATTTCTTCCTAAAAGTACACATATTTATAAAAGATCAATTTTTGATCCAAATTATCCACAATTATTTGAATCTTTCTCTAAAACGGTCATAAAGTTAATGAAAGATCAATTTATGGTTAATAGGGATGAGTGGGCAACTGTTAATGAGACAAAGTAAGAAAATAAAGCAATAACCTTCATTGCAACAATGTAAAGTGTATCTTCGCGCTGTTTTAAATTCCGAGCAAGTTCCGCATATTGCGATTCCATGTCCAGAGCCGTAAGTGCATCTGTTTTATCTTTCAACCAATTAGTTGAGAAATGTTCTGGACTCATAACATCGTAATCCATCGTTTTACTGAAAACTATTGAATATTGTTTTATAATTAAAATGAACATATACTGACATAATATGTTCTTTATAGAAAACAAATAATTACCAATTTATTGCTTCATTTTTACTAATCAACTTGGCTTGAATGTGAAAAAAAATATTAGAAAGACCTACACTTGCGATTTAATGGCTGTATTGTCGGCACTGGAGCTAATCATATCGATATGTCGCCACGCACGTTCACGTACCGCTTTCAAACGCGCAGCTTCCATTTTGTCAATTGCTGTCCTAAGAATAATTTTAAACTTTTTTAAAAAGACTACAAAAAACATCACTATTTAATTGTACATCATTCAAAATCATTACTGCGGAATGCACTGATAAAGTCTTCGACGTTACAATAGCTGTATGAAAAGGAGTTTGCTGAAACAGTTACTTAGCAACGAATCCATAAAAATCTTAAAAATATATATTTAACTTTGGGACAAAACATGTAAACTTATAATGATAAAACAGGTCTTAAAAGTTGGTATCAATATAAACCGTTGTCGGCGATTTTCTCTATCCATTTTTCTCCGTTCATCATCTCGTATGGATTTTATAGTCACATTAGGAGTAGTCGATCCTTTGTATATTGGAACACGAAATATACGTCGAATATGCATAAATTGCAAACACTCATGTCTGTTAATCCAAGCAAAGACATCGTTATTCAATCTGAACATGTATCATATCAAAATGAAATTAAATTTCCAAAAATAAAAAAATGAAATAATTTACTGAGATCAAAGCTGTAATGGAGAGCTCCTATAAACTATCTAGCACTATGTATAGCAATAGTAATTGAGAATATGACAAACGTAATCCAAGTTTTGCAAATCATATGCAAAATTTTATCAATTTTATTTTATTTCTCAAGAATTCAATGTTTTAGGCGAGAAACCAGTACAGTGCCTATTTGCAATGACGCGTTTGAGTGGTTTCAGAAGGTTAAAGACATGGTGGTAACTTATGAAGAGTTCACATAGGTGGATGACTTGGATGATTTGAGCTAACATCCTAGACAAAAGTACCAGGTAAAATTGAGACAAAGATCAACAAAATCTTCATCTCATTTATCATTTAATAGATTCAACAAATGCTTTCAGTCACTTCGAGATGGAGGACGACTCATCATTCATTATATATGAAGCAATTTTATGTTTTATTAGAGTATAATATTAATACTGGAGTAAATATACTTGCTCTAAGAATGAATGCTCCAATATGCCAAACATAAGCTCTTGAAATATAGAATTTTAAAATTAAAGTAAAAATTCAGGAAAATCATAACGAACTTCATTGCTTCAGTATGATTTAAATATTTCTTCTGCATGTTATCGCAGTTTACCGAATAGTTCAGGTTTGAATGGGATAAGAAACCGGACTTCTTACTTGACTGTGAATTTTCTCTCGATTCCTAAAAAATGTTTAACATCGGACATACAAATAGATCCACAAAATGATATTCTTTCCAAAGTTATGCAGTTCGTAAAGTTCGAGAAAAAAATCAAATTACTAAATATAGAAACATTAAAAAACGACAGGATAATAAGTAGATAACTCACCGTAACTCCATGATAATCCAAAGAAAGAAGAGCTCGACCAGTATTTACTCTTTTTCGCATCGAATATACATTTGATTTCGCAAGATTCAATGCAGGAAGACTTTTTATATCACGAACTGGGTCCAAATTTCTAAAATCATTCAAATTCATTTGGGTAAAAAAGCTTAAAAGAATCTTTTTCATAAGTTTAATATTTTCAGATAAATATCCATCAGAAAAGCAAGAAGAAAGTAACTTAACTTGTATAGGTGCTGCTAAAAGACAACAACGAAACAAATCCGAAAAGGCAAACAGCGCCAGCTAGCATACTTAAATGACCAGGGCTGCTTTGATTATTAGCTTTTAATTTCAACATTTCATTCTAAAATTGAAACTTTACTGTTGGAAGAAGTATAAACAAAAAAAAAATGAAAAATATCAATTAGCTTTGTTGGTAATTGTATTACAACAATTCTAGTATAAAAGATGAAATGATCAGTAGTTGATTTGATAATTGCAAGTAAAGACGAATAAGCGTATAGATGTTGAAATGAATGGATGGAAAGAATGCTCCTGATGGTATATATGACAATTTATATATTCTATATGGGACGATACCAGGATAGCAGATAATGGGTTTAATAAGCAACCTCAGGGTCAGACAATGTCATTTTGGGGAAGAAGAGGCGATGAGAACAAAGGGATAATAATTATATTTGCTACCATGAAAGACAAAGAATAGTCAAAGGACAAAAGCCTTATAAGGAACCGTTTTGTAGCAACACAAATAAATTAAATTTAACAAAGGCAAATTACGAAATGTGGTCCCTCAACTTAATTGTCAGTGATACAAATCTCAATTACTCAATTAACGTAAACAAATTTCCGGATTTTCCGACATAACCAGTCAAAATACATTGAATTATTATTAACTCTTCGATGCTTGTTTCTCTTCATATTGCCTTAACAGCAAAGAAAGAAAATCAGTTTCAGGTCATGTATTAGTTACCACGATTGAGATAAGAACTTTCCCGAGGTAAAAAACTGCAATTAAATCTGAATTATCAACGTGCATTATTTCAAAATAAATTTAATTAACTGGATTCGTCCTCGATAACTGCTATCCACCCTAATAAAGTTCATTAAATTTTCTGATGAATAATAGGCTTTTTTAGGAAATTATGAAATCAGCATATAATGATATAAGATATAATTTAATCACTATGGGATGCAATTTAAGATGTTAAACTGGTATTTTTTATTATCCCATTTTTCGCATTAGTTTGTAAAACGCAATTTAAGATGATATGTACCTCTCTTCGCAAAGTTTCAATAGTTCCTTTTAAATTTTCGATTTCATTCTTTAATTTTTCAATAGTGACATCTTTATTAGCCAAATTTCGTTTCATTTCATCGATTTCCTGCAATATTCAGTGCAATCAGAAGGAAGAAAAACTGAAGAATAAGGAAAGGGATTTATGCATTATATCACATCAAAACTAACATTTCTTTTCCGGATTCGTGAAAGTTGTGCCGAATATCTGTTCCGTATTTTCCGATCTTCCTTCTTACGATCGTAATCCTGAAAGGGTTTGTAAAATGTAAGATAGATTTCTTGTGATTAAAAATTTTATATGTAGTAATATTGGTATTAAAATTCATATAAAAAATATTCCTAATGGATAAATGATAAAATTACGCGAAGAAATAAAATGTGTCTCTTGTGATTCAGTGTTGAACATGACAAATAAACCATGATAAAAATAAGCAAGAAAAAAAAGAATGCCGATGAAGTTCACATTATTTTTAGAAAGACTTAAGAAACGGCTTTACCCAATCATTTCTGAGCAATAGAAATATTTCGTCATAAGTGTCAGCAATAAAATAATTCGCCCACTTCACAGTGTCACGTATAACTGTTCAAACATCAAATAAATGAGTTAACTTGTGAAAGACAATTTGAAATTTTACATCGATATGAGACATTAACCTATATTGGGACTACAATATCTACCGAAAAATGAACATCCACTTTGGTACATCGTTGTGGCTCGAAATGGTGTGCAACACCATTTGACAATGTATTGAAAAGGTTATTCACAGGAGTAAATACAACTATTCTTACATTCTAAGAAAGTGAAAAGTTCTAAAAGACTATTTAGTCCATTTCATATGTGGTAAAAGTGGTATTAATACTAGAGGAAGAAAAAACAAAACAAAATAAACTATTAAATACAAACAAACTTATTAAAAAATTAAAATAAAGTGTGAAAGAAAGTGAATGGTAACAATGACGTAATGTTAATATTTCTGAAGTCACCTTAACAGGAGCGCTTGCAAATATCGATGTTGATGATGATCCCTCATGTTTTGGCGACAGCATGCGCTGCTTACCTTGATTGACAGCTGGTTGGGACTGAAATGAATAATTTAAATTAATATCTATTTCTAGTTTTCAAAAAAAAATATGAAAATAAATTCATAGTATTAAGAAATGAATAGAGATGAAAATGAATCAAATCGCACAGGAGCTTGAAACTCACATTGCAAGAGCTAGCGTGGGTTTGTGCCGGCATAATGCAAATCATTGGATGACTTGATGTACTTTTACCATTCGTTACAATCTGAAAACTGGTAATAATGTTTACGCACATTTTTAAGACTTATTTCTCTACAGGTTTAATGGAAACTTATCAGCTGTTATGCTTACAAATCATAATAAAAAATCATGACAATTAGCTTCATTTCTAAATTCTAAAGATTCAGGAAATTTCTTTTATAATTAGAAAGGGTGGGTACAAGCTATGTGGCATGAAGTTTATTGCAAGAAGTCCTTAGAAATTTTTGTGCAACAAATACTGAAACAATTGGTAAGTATGAGAAAAATCATTAATGGAAATATTATTGTCACAAAATCCAAGGTGTACACCTGCTGAACAGGGATATGAACTGGAATAAGGCGGCTTGGATTAGGCACTGCAGCAAATTTCGATTCTAATTGATGTATTTGTATTGCCTGGACGACATTTGTAATTCGATCACTATCAGAAGCACTCTGATCCTTTAAAAAAATTTTTTTTAATTTTGCAAAATCTTAAATAATTACTCACTGACAAATAAATGTTCACTAATATTTTCAAAAAGTCGACTGGGGATAGTAAGATCAACTAGACTCCTCGATTGCCATCTAATATTATTATCAGCTCTTCGAAAGTTTCAAAAAAAAAGTTATATCCATTAAATAATTATGCTTAATAAATTTCTTTCAGAAAAGTTATCATCAGTTTATATAAATAACCATTTACTTAGGCAAATGCATACATCTGAATTAGAGCATGTTGGTGAATAATTTCCGGAATCACTAGTGGATGGAGAAGCATTATCATACAATATTTGATTGATAAAATCATTGTCAAGTGTAACAGTATCGAATATCGACGAATCATCCGGTGAAAGTACTCCATCGTTATTGTATGAATTCAAATCGGATCTTAAATTCTCAATGACCTCCGAAAGCTGGAAATAATTATTGTCAAATCAATAATATAAAATAAATGTTGTTGTTGATGAAGAAAAAATTAAGCATTGATTTGTAACTTTATGAATTCTTACTGATCTTTAAATACCTATAACTCATCATCCTGCTATCCATTAATCGTCGGAATGGGATTCAAGAAGTATACAGGATGCCAGTAAATTAACAACTTATGGGCTAGTTAAAAATTTATCTTATCAGATAATGTTAAAAACCTGATCATCGCTCTGTTCAATGATATTGTTAGCACTGATTCCGAAATCATTTGGGGAAAGTAAATTCGCCAAGCAAAATTGATCAAAATTATTCTCCAGAAAACGACAGCTATCATCAAAATCCATCAAAGAATCAGAAAAGAACAATTTGTGAAATATTTAGGAACAGTAACAAAATAATTCTGAAATTGAAATAACAAACTATGAAATTACATGATATTCCACAATTAATATGAAAATATATGTCCATTTGCAATCTAATTTTGTGATTATGCATTGTTAATACTTGGAAAGATATAAATTGGAAATAAAGTAATTATGGAAGAAATCGGTTAAAAAAAATGCAAATAAATAATTTTATTAAAAAAATTAAATATTCGCGCGCCGTAATGATAGCATCAAACGAAAGCAAAGATTTCAGAGATGGTAAGCTCTTCCATCAATAATTATTCCATCATTTGAAAGAAATCATTCGCTACTCGTCTCTCTACCCAACCAAGCGGGAATTTTGAAAAGATCAATTTGAAATGTCCCGGTGTGAGAATAGAATTATGTTACTCATACTCTTTCTGGCTAGCGTCCTTTTTTTTGTAGGTTACAGTATGCGTATATTATTCAATTATGACCTTTTATCTACGTGATGGTAACACTGTCTTGTAACAGTGATTAGGTTAATACGCGCATGAACTTGCTCCATACGATCCAGCAGTCTATGTGACCCGAACGAAAGCGGGAATATGCTTGAGTATAAAAGTATTCCAACTTGACTCTTTCTTACTTTATCGTTTCACTCCTTTCCAGACCGTATTTTATGAGTTACTCTCTAACCGTATAGCATTCTAAAATGATCCGATAGAGTTAACTCTTTTTCCACTCAATTTTAGCAATATTTCCCGCTAAGAGATTCAACATGAGTCATGCTTTAATTCCTATGACCTTTGTCTTAATCTTGAAGACATGTGATAGTATGTCAAATGACATGTACGTAGTCATTCCATTAGTTTTTCAAGAAATTATACAAATACTTTGGAATAAAAGTAATAGGCGAAAATGGGAACAGAAATAGAAATGAATATACGTTGTTGTTCATAATTAAGGTATACTTGCATTTCAGTTTCAAAAATGGATTCAAAACGGATAGGTGCAATCAAACGTTGGGTTAGTTTATTATTACTAATTGTTATATTGTGCATTATCTGCATCCATAATTACTATACCACAGATTCAAAAAATATTATTCGTTTCATTCCTTGCCTTTAGATATATTTAGTTTTCGGGAGAATTTTTCCTCTTTACGATCAAATTATTATTCTATCTAAATTCCATAATGCGACTGCTTTGTGAGTGTATTGTTGTATTTCCTTTTCGTTTAATTGCATAATTCTAAACCTCCTCAATCTAAATCTGTTCTTGTCATTCTTGGATCCAGTAGAGATAATATGCGACTAATAAGGCAGGAATTGAAATGGCAGTATTCATTTATTGTTGAAATATTTATTGCAGTTCGAGCAGTTGTTAAAAGCCAAGTTAGGTATTGATCCAGTGGATGGCTGGGCTCTACTATATAAACGACACATATCTGTTATAACTCATCTAATGTAAGTTTTTTGATATTGCAAGACTTGTGTTAATATAATGGAAGAGTTAGAGAAGAAATGAAAACTGATGACAATTATGCTTCTGTTTTCGGGGAACGATTTCTTTTCTCAGATTGAATTTTAAAATATTACATTCGATATAAAATTTCAGCACTACTGGTAAGTTCAAAAAATGCGAGGAAAAGTCGAGCCAAGAAGTATACACGAAGGCATATCAGGCTTTAGTAGACCAAATGACGGATGCTTTGTTTCTAGACCATTTGAAGCCAGATCTGGCTGCGACGGGTGATAATTTTGAGGTGGCTAAATTTTTGATCGTCTTTTTGAATGAATTACGGATAAGTTTGGAAATCGTCTTCGATGAAGATTATGGGCTAACAGAGGAAGAAAATAAGCATATTGCAGCAGTACTACATCATTTAGAAAATCATCAAAGTTGGGATCCTTATGAGTCTTGGCCTGCAGTGCTATTCGAGAGCAATCATGAACCCATAGATGTGGAAAATTTTATTACTCCCAAGGTTCGTTTCAATTTTATTTCATTAATTTCTTGAATTCCCTCAAATTTCTTAAAACGCAAAGAGCATGAAATTTTATTCTGCGTCAGTCAAATTCTAGTGGTAAGAATAGATTGCATAATTTCACTTTTTTCTTCAAAAATGAAATCTTTCAGATTCGGCGGTCAAATCATTGTGGATTCGCATTGAGCGAAAGAACAGATACAAGGCGTAGTCCACTTTCTGAAATCGTCTCCTCCCCTCGTTCACGTGAACTACGAATAATACGTGAAAAAGATAAAAAGATAAAGGTTTTTAACCTATTTTCTTGAACTTTACTTAATTTTAAGTGAAATATTCATTGCAAAAGATAAACATGTTTCTCGTTCCTAGATCATAGCCATTTAGACTCTGAACGAACGATGTAAACTACTGGAATACGAAAAAGACGATCTGGATAGCTCGCTAAGAACTGCTAACCAAGAAATCAAGAGTCTTACGAAGAGGTTTCCACGAATTTTTATCACTCCTCATCACATTGTCATTTGTCTTCCAACTATCTACTTCCCAATCTAATGTCTTTTTAAGTTATTTCATTCAGCTAACCCTATCTATCCTTCATTTCCTGCTATTATCTTTCTGTTACCTTACCTTATGTTACACAATATCTTAGTATTATTGTTAGTAAATTACAGTCTCAGCGAAATAACCGGCGCTGTAAATGAGAAAGATGCACGATGTCATATTCTTACTATAGAACTGGATGAATGGCGAACTAAAGCGGCTGCAGCTGAGGAGGAAAGCAATCAAGTAAAACAACAATTAAAGGCTGCAAAACAAGAATTACATACTACTCAAGTAAAATTATCATTATTGGATGTAAAAAACAGTGTTTTTTCATCGCTGCTGTAGCTAGTGCTTATTGTACGAGCATATATATCGCAAAACAAGTTTTTTTATTTTCTTTTGTTCTTTCATGTGATTTTAATGCAGATTATTATAGAGACAATTGCGTGAAGCCGAATTTGACATTTCATCTAAACAAAGGATCGTTGAGAGCTGGGAAAAAAATGCTACGCTGGAGGAACAGTGGCGGTTAAAAATGGAAAGGGAACGAGAGGAGCTTTTGCAGGTACGTAAAATGCATAATAGATTATGCGCACTCTTATTGAAGATCTGCATGAAATCTTTTATACTGCATAGTTTTTTAAAGGAGCTTGAAGTGACACGAATCTCGAAAACAGCTGCCGAGGAGCGATTGTTACGGCTTACAACCGACAATGGAACCGAAATCGCGGAACTGCGGAATATAATTGATGGACTGCGATCGGACATAAAAGAAGCGGTGCGTTAAGTTCTAAACTCATTGGAGTTATAACTGTTTCAACATTTAGCGAAATTTTAATGTTGTAGCGACAAGAAAGGGATGAAGCATTAATCAGTCAGGATGAAAGAGTGAGGATCAAGGAATTGGAAATTGCTAGATCTGCCGACATGATTACAGAAATTAAAAAGCAATTAAGTGTCGCTCAACTTTCTGTTCGAAACATCCGTAGCTTAGCTGTGCAGGTATTATTGCTCATTTTTCCATGAAGCTGGATTTCATTTTAATTCTTTGATTTAGTGATTCATTTCAGTACATTTAACAGATGTCGATTGATTTGTAAAAGAGGCCACCGTGCTAAGTTGCTGTTTTTAAATGTGTAGGATACAACAAAAAAAAAACATATTTGCAGGTACGAAACCTTTGCAGGGAGCTGGAAAACAGGAGGACCGAAATTCAGGGTCTGCGACTTCTGTTCACAGGTATCCAGAATGGATATCAGGCTTTGAAGGAAGAGAATGGACAAAATAGATCTATGATTGAAAGTCTACGAAACAATGTATTTATTTATTTTTTCCAATTAATTAATATCGATCCATGGCTTACTGAATGATTGCGCTAATGAATTTCTTTGGAACGAATGCGTTTAATTTCAGTACAAATGCTACTGTGTAAGTTCATTAAAAAAGCAAAAGTGAAAACAAAATAAAAATTTTATCTTGGCTATGAATCCTATTTTTCGTTTGTATTCCACAACCGACAGAAAAAAAGTATTGCTTTACAGGTAGCGATTAGTGAATATCAGTCGAAAGCATTAGCTGCATCATTGGAGAATCAACGAAAGAAAGTATATGTAAAATTGATAGAAACCATTTTTTGAAGTCCAAAGGCATCTTCCTTTGCTAAAATTCCTTTTTTAGCATGTAGAGGCAATGATGGCAAAACAAGAAACCTTAAATGAAAAACAACGGATGCTCTTAGAAGCATGGAATCAGTTGAATAGCAGCGTTGAGCTCAATATCCATTTGCAAGAAGAAATAACACGGCGAGACGGTTTGTTTTTTAACATTACAAAAGTTTTTTTTTTTTTTNTTTTGAAGATTCTAAAATTTCGAAGCTGGCGGTCAGGACCACATTCAGTTCATCTAACAGCTGAGCAGTTATTCTTCCTTACATTTATACATCACTAATGAATTTGTCTAGTTTATGTCTTGAAGAACTTTGTGAGCTCTAGGTACCATCATCAAATACGAAGTTTCCGAAAAAAAAAAAAAATTTTTTTTTTAATGCAAACAGTTTCCTTTCTGTGAATATCCGATATTTTCAGTTGCATACCGTACTCTCGAACAACGTCTTGCTTCTGCCGAGGAAAGATGTTCAACAATTTCTCAGCATTTTTCGATTAGCAATAGCACTCTGGATAGTAAACCAGTTGAGGAAATGGCAAAAATAACCTGTCACTTTCCGGAAGTAGTAGGTAGTACTTACTTCAACATTTTATTTCTTATCTGAATAGAAATGATGAACAAAACTTTGCATATTTATGCCCTGAAGTATATTACATAAATTATACAAACATAGTGGCAGACGGATTATCCACCGGCGAATTTGTTAGCGGAATTAAAAAATTATGTGAAAATCATGTAAGAATTAACTTTATTTCAAAAATAGAACCAAATCACTGCAGACGTGTCATCTGGTACACTGCCTCATGAGTTCCATCCACTTCCGGAAGTTGAAGATGAGAATGATCTGTTGTCATCATCATCCGTGACCGGCGATCCATATATGCTGAAGGTGGAATCGCAGTGCGGCAGACTAATCACAGCTGACGAGTAATTATTATTTCGTTTACCAACAGTTTCTGGGACATTTTTTCATATAATCTTTAATTTTGATCCATATGTTTTTCCGTCTTTCATATTAAAGAAAGCTTTTATTAGAAGATTTTACAAGAATAAAATGTTTATAAAAAATGCTTACTGTTTAAGACAAGAGGAACTTAACACTTCCGTGGATAGTGAACGCTTGGCTGAATTGAACAGACGCAACAAAACATTGCCGCCTCATATGCGTTCAACTTACGCTACGGAATTGACTTATGCGAAACGCTTCCCATCTGAAAGACTCGAAGATGAACTCAAAAATTCTAGGAATTTTGTGCCATGCTCACATAAAAGTGGTGGTGATGCATCCAGCTTAGTATCACCAAGCAATTTATCTAAAACGAAGGTTGATAGATTCCTAAATAGCTGTACAGTTATATAAAATTCATATAATTAAATTAGTCGGCAAAAAGCTTTTCGATTAAAAAAATTTTTTAATTAAAATCATAGATTGATTACAATTTAAATAGCTTTGTTTATAAATGCTCTGCAAATTTTCGCATTTTTGAATGGAAACTAATAAAATTAACTCTTTTTTTCAGTATGTTTCACGATCGTTGCGGAGTGTCAAAAAACATTTTAATAAAATATTGCAAGAAGTGAATACATCCAAGACAAGTATTGCCAGCAAAGATCGAACTCCTTTGAAATGAAAAAATTGAATGACCCATTGATTATTTTATTGTAATGGAAAGAAATTATTTGGGTTGAAATAGTTTTGTAGTTTTCATTTTTTGTCATATGATAATAGCATGCTAGAAGTCAAAAGTAGTAAGCATGAGTTCGTTTAGTTTATCTTTTGATTCGAATGTCGGCTTTTGAATCTACCCACTTATTTGATCAGTTCCTTCTAATATATTATCTGACTGAACCAGCGCTCCTTATAATTTTTATACGACTAATTTGACTACAGTTTATTTTTGCATAATTGTTATATGTGTTTATTCTTATTTCCTAACCATTTTATATCATTTTCGTCACACCTAACTATTAATTCTGTAAATATCCATTACATAAACGCTCATACAGATATGATTATTTAAGGAAATTTACATCATGATATGTTAACAAGATGGTAAACAATAATTTGATGGAATATTGCTTCCATCTTCATATTGGAATACGAAAATGCAACCTCTACAAGTTATGGGTTTCTATCGTAAAATTTTTTTTTCTCAAATTTATATGGAATGAAAGTGGTTTATTTTTCACTCTTAAAAAAGTATTGACCGATTAAATTATGAGGTTTAGAAAAAATTCGGTCAATGTAATGTAGCTAATAATGTGAAATCATGGTTTCCATATTATGTATTTATCGTCGTATATCGTCATATATCGTTATAATAGTAGCATGTCGTGTCGTTCTATTTGTTTTATATTAATTTTAGTATCAATTTTTTTAATTTTTACCGGAGAAAATGAGCTTCCGTAATTACGCATATTATGTGTATTAATGGATAGTAATTTATGGTTTCGATTGATCACTTGGAAGTAAATTTCCTCTTAAATCGACTCCCATTAGTTTCCCTTCAGTTTATAGTTAAATTAAGCGAACTTTTAAGTATAATTCAAAAACAAACCGATGTTCGATGAATCTCTTGTTTCTTCAGCTAATTTTTAACTTAATTAAATTTCTTCCGTTGGTTCATCAAACTAATTTTTTTGATTGCTTATTTCCTTTCCTTCTTCGTTTTCTTTTTTTATTTCTTTTTTTATTTTTTAATCTGTTTTTGTTTCAATTTTTTAATTAAAAATTATTTATTTTAAAGTTTTAAATTGGAGTATAAAGATGAGAAAGGTGATTTAAAAATTCTATTCTACACCGCAGCTTTGACTGTACATTACTTATGCGTATTTTGTTCATTTCGATTAACGAATCTATTTCGAGCAATTTGTAAAAAAACAGAAAAAATTTTGGAAAGCACGAAAAATTGATTTTAAAAAATAAATAAAAACAATAGATTTGTAAGTGGAAAAAATATAGCTAGAAGATATGAGTCTGAAATTTCTACTAATTCTAATTAGAGAAGAAGTAATTTCATATAATTTAAGTAATATTCATTTCCATATGCTGAGATGCAAATGAATTCATACAAATATAACAATCGAATATTTCACTATAATTTAAATGGAAAGAGAATTTTATGACTATAAAAGCTTAGGAGATCAGAGTTTCATTTGTATCGATGAGCAACCAAATTTTTTCTCATAAGAATGTTTTTATTATATTTTAAAACTTGCTTTATCAATTAAATTTTATCCATACGTCATTTGCAATTTCAGTTTATGCTACGATGCTTCAATGCAAATGCTTAGCAAATGTAACAAATTATTAAAAAATTTTGAGCGGACTTTTAATGAAGAAATTTGCGCGGCGGAAATTTTTTATGCAAAAGAAAACAATGAAATGCATTTAATAACGCCTGAGGAATTAATTGAAGGAAAGGAAAGATTTTTAAAAGAACAGAGAAATATGACGAAAAGTGTTGACGAGTGTTTCGCTTATAATCGATTTTTTTAATTCAAAAAATCCTCAAATTAAGCAATCATGTGAATGAGAATAAAGATTTTAATACTTACTTTATGATTTCTTGCTATCAAAAAACAAATACTGATTAATTTTGCAATAATTAAATATCTTATTAAAAAATTTAGCACAGTATTTGATTTTAAATCCAAAAATAAAAAGACAATAATTTGTCGGTTGTATCTTATTTAAACAAAAAAGACGAAAGATGAAAAAAACACATTGAATTATATTTGTTTCTAATTTTTTCCAAATTTTATAAAATTTTATTAGCAATAATTTATGCATATTTTATATCAGTAAAAAACGATAAAAAATGTGAAGAAATTAGAAAATACAGAAAAAACATATTTTAAAATGAGGTGAGAACAAAAAAACAAATTATTAATGTTTCAAAACACTGTGAGCAACAATAAATAATATATAATTTTCTTTAGTCGCCTTTTTTCAAATTTCCAAATTATTTTGAAATTTGCAAAAAAAATTATAATAAATGATTATGATTAGATTAAGAGATTCATTCCCGTCTTTTTTAAGATCAGCGATTGTTAACTATCACCGAATGATTGTGATGTTGCGTGATAATATAAAAGAGTTAAACTGTTCAGATACTTTTTGAAATTGGAAATAGGCTGAAGTAAAGTTTTGAATTTAATTTTTCGCATCTTTTTTTTGTTGCAATGAAAAATTCAGACAACTGAAGTACACAAAATTTTGATAATGTTAGAATATTAATTTCGGTTATAATTTATCTTTGCATGATAATTATTTAAACAAAAAAAATTGCCATCACTTATCGAGTTTTTAAACTCATTTTCTGTCAGATATTTATGTTCTAGAATGATGATTATTTATAAGAAAATAACAAATAATTTAATTGCTTCATTCATACTATTATCACGAAATATTTGTCGACATGTCTAAATATTTCTTTACTCATCAAATTGTTCAACAGATTATTGTATTCATACCATACTGCAATAACTATCAATCAATAATCGTATTTCTTCCAGGCCGCCAGCAGTAATAATGACAGGTATATCAGCGCAAGCAATATTATCATTATCATCATCATCATCACCATCATCACTATCACCATCACCATCATCATTTTCATTTATATCTTTTAAGATAAATTCATCGATTATCGTTAGCCGTTTATCGGTCATTTCATCAGTCATTACATTCTCCGGTTTGGTAATTTGTAACGATCTAAAAGAGGAAAAACTTTAAAATTGGAAAAACTGAAAGAAAAAAATTGTTGTTCATTTAATTACTAATGCATGATTTCGTATTTGCCATTTGTCTAATCTTGTTTTAATCAATTTAATATTTTGTAATCGTGAAATTATGTACACTATATTCGATAGATAACTGAAATCTAATGGTTTTTCTCTGTTCATCAGATTGAATTTATAAATTATTGAACATATATTAATCAGGCATCAATTAGCAGTTGTATTTTTCTTACATTTTATATTTTTATATTTTACATTTATATTTTACAGTCAATTTACATATAAATAATTAATTTTAAAATTGCTCCAGATATTTTTCATCCATCAATTGTGAGTCAGTAAGCAAATAGTGGCACATTAATGCTTTTTTTTTAATATAAGGAAGCTTTATCAAAAAAGAGCTTATTCATTCTTTATGAACATTTCCGTTGCTATTTTAGAAATTCCTTAAAAACTACGAAAAAAAATGAAACAAAATAGTCTTCAATTTTAAGTTTGATTGAAAATAAATTGGAAGTTGCAAAAATTAATTACAGAAGTAATTCATAAATAAAATTTTTGAAATTAAGAAAAAGAGAAAAAAGAAAAAAATTTATAAATATTTTAATTTACACAGGCAACAATTTCAACGAACAGATAAAAAGAATCGATTCAAATGCAATTGGAAATCTGGTCAGTGATCTGATCACTTGCTCGATTATTTGTTTGCTCGATCAGTTGTCCTTTTGGTGCCATTTTCAAATGTTCATTTGTTAAATTATTTGATGATACCGCTGACTGGAGCGCTTTAGTTACTTGATGGCTTAAAACTAATTTTCATGATAGATTGTGATTTTTTTCTTTTGAAAAAAGATCTCGCCAATAAAAAATGTTTTTAAAATGGATAATTTTTGAAATTTCATACTTCCTATTTTCTTAATTTTCAAAAAAAGAATTTAGAAGAGTTAAGTGTTAGAAAAGCAAACAAAATCATAATAAGTACATTTCAAGTAATTTCGTTAGAGAAGCAGCTAGATAGTAGAGCATGATGGCAAAGAGTATGATAGCAATTAAAAATAATTAAATGAATAAATAAAACTAAAAATATTTGATAGGTGTAAATTCAAAACAACAGTCATGCAGAGAAATGCGAGAGACACAACAGAGAAAGCATGTATAATTGAGTGTAACATAGAATGAGACAATTAATGAAATATAGTATAAGGAAGCTTTATCAAAAAAAAGTGGAACACAAGTTGATTTATGATAAATAATAAATGCAGCCTTTTGAATGATATTGCCACACAAATTGCAATTGATGAATCTCTCTTTTTTAAAATTAAAACTTTAAAATCAGTTAATCTAAAAAGAAAGAAAAAATTAAATTGGTAAATTATAAGCTAATATTTCACCAGGATTTCAAATTTGTTCGCATTTCAGCAGTTTGATTTATACATTGATGAATTTGTCCAATTTGTTCAAAAAATAAAATTGAAATCAAATTTTTGGGAATTAGAACAATTTTGAACTCAGCAAATCTAAAATGTCACTTCATTGTTTATTAAAATTTTCATTACAAATTTCAAATTAAACTAATTTTTAATTAAATTGCAATGAACAAAAGCCGATTGAAAATTAAATAATTGTTTAAGCATTAAAAGCTACAACATATTAAGTAATAAAAAAGCACAGGAAAGCCATGCATTCAAATGTTAGTAAAATATGCTGAAAAATTGGCAGAATCATTAAAACATTTACAATTATACGATGAAAAATACCTTTTTTTTGCATAATGTGATATTGGATTCGTCGATTGATCTATAAAAATCTTCTTTTTTAAAATTTTATTTAATCATTTGAAATTTAATCAATTTTAAGGAAAATAGAAAACCATGATGTATTTATAAAATTTAATTATTTTCTAGTTTAAGAAACACTTTGCCCGTAAAAGTTAACATATTTAATTATTATTCTCGGACAAGCTA